TTTTTTTTTTTTTTTTTTTTTTTTTTTTTTTTTTGTACCTCAGAAGCACAAAAAATATTTTTTAAAATGAAGCAGCACTAAATATTCTAAACCACACGGGTGAAAAGCGATTTTGATTCAAATATTACCAATTCCGAGAAAAAAAATCTGTTTTTTTTCTAGCCATTACTGGATAAGTATCTATTTTTTTTATTGACTTGTGACCTCATAGCTTTTTTCATCCTTTGACGATTTGAAAAATTCGGCATCTGGCTGCAAAAATAAAACGGATTACCTGAAAAAGCGAACTGATACCAAAATTAAACCATTCTAAACCGCAAAAGAAAACTTACTTCTTGCTAGAATTGATCATCTTTAGAAACTTTTTATTCTCTCTGTCCTCGACGAATTGACAGAATGACATAACCTTGAAAAAACCTTTTTCAACTCATTCAGCAGCAAAACTTTTCAGTCCAGTGCCTATTACTAAACTAGTGAATTAAGACATGTTCCAACACAACAACATTTTAATTAAAGCCGAGAAAATGGCGTCTACAGAGGCCTCCGAATACCGTATAAACAAAGATTTTTGATTGTGTAGCTCCATAGTTTTACTATAAATTTCAGTTTTTAATTCTAGTATACTATACGATAACCATTTCTACAAAAAAAAACAAGTTTTTTCTAAAAGACATTTTTTTGGAAAAAACGTTTTAATCTCTGCTTTTATTTCAGTCTTTTAAGTAATTATTTTTTACATGTAACTGACCAATTTTTTGACTCTAATATAGGAAACACGTGAAAATAAAACAAAAGTTGGAAGGATTTATCGTGAATGAACGAAGATACAAGTTTTTGAAGATGACTAAACTTGGCATAAATTCTGCCTCTTCCCGTACTTGACATAAATACAGTTTTGTTGCCAACACGCCTTTTGAGGTAATTTCTTTCAATTTTGCAACCAGTGCAAAAAGCCCTACTAATTGACAAAAAAGGAAAAAACTGAACAGGCCAACTTTAAAAACTGCCAGATTTAACAGGTAATAGTGAATATGTATATAATGTTTTTGATAAGGTTTCTCTAGCCCAATAAATTTCAGTTTTATTTCAAGCGCCATTGCATAGGAGCAGAAATCTTCCGCAAATCTTCTGCGGACTATATGCTGATGCTTGATAGTGATAACGGAGTGATTAATCCTCAGAGAAACATTGAAGATTTTATTTTCAAAGATAAAGATCTCGTATTCTACAAGCGCATCTTCAATAATGAAGTTGCTGCTGGAAGTTACATTGCAAAGTAAGCTAACTAAACATTGATTCTGAACTTCATCAGCCTTCGCTTACATTTTATGCACGCAACTTTACCGGCAAAGACGACATTAATATCAAGTAAAAGTTTTAATCACTAAAGTTGTTAAAAAAACCTCCAAGTCAATGCCGATGAAATGATAGTTTCTTACTAAGCTCAGACTAACATTAAGCTTAGAACTTTTGCATTTACTTTTCTTAAAATCCTTTATCGACTTCATCGCTTTTTTCCCGTACTAACCGTCCAGAACTTCACCGTTCATTTTCAATCTAAAATTTTAAAACAACTATCACTTGCCTTTCCAACAGTGTTACAGCTATGACGGTCACAAAAGTGGAGTTGTAGAACGATTTAAAGATTTTTGCTATTACACTCGCTTTTACCTTTCGCTTAAAATTTCAAAAACCTCTCTTTCTACAGACTAAATTGAAGTTTCCCTCAGACTCATATGTGACGGTAACCTTCATCGTCATATTAATATTATTTTGGTTTTTTCAAATGATCAAAGCCATTTAAAGAATTTTTGAGCAGACAATGGTGACACTTTTTTGTAGTTTGTAGCTGCTAACTAAAGTGTATGAGCCCTTACATTCCTCTCCTATTCCTGAAGATACCGCCAAAAAAAATGCTTTGCTACTCAAACACTTACAACTGTTTGAACATTAAGCTTGTTGATGGACGTGACTTTGGAACAATTTTGAAGCATACAAGACTTCTATTCTGGGAAGGTGTTATGGTTTTTTTTTCTAGCGATTCCATGTTCCTGCTGCAGTTCTGGCGAGTTTTTCTTCCATCCGGAACTGTCGCGACCATACGCGAAACGGCACTTATTACAGTAAGTGACTGATGGGGCTATGTTCCCTGAGGGGACGCTCTTGGAGGAGCATACTACCTAGGCCACGCCACCAGTGGTATAGGTACAAATAGGAAGGGACAGTCAGCTAACTTCAGTGTTCATTACAATCAAATCTAGTTGATTGCCGGCGGTTTTCGTATAAAACTTTCTCTCTCTTATAACGTGCCCATAGGCAGTTGTGTGTTTACTATCTTTTCTTTGTAGTAGTTCCTTATTATATTTCATTATTGTGTATAATAGGTTACTGAACTGCTTCAATTAGTATTTTATATCTCTGTATAATTTGGTTTTTGTGTAATCTAGTTATTAGGAAAGGTGGTGACTCACGCGTAGTATTCAAGTATTTCCTTCTGTTTATAAGCTTAGGTAGGTATACTACGATTGAGTAGCAATCTTCCTAAGTTCTAAAGTTGGCATCTGTCCAAGAAGTATCGGTTTGTATAGGCTTAGGACTGGAAAGAGTCCTAAGGAGGTAAGGTAGCTGTAGGTTGGTGCTGTAGGTCCAAAGACTGATTGAACTACAGTAGAGAGCGTAATAGAGAGGACCCATAGGACACTGTAGAAGAGAAGCTATCGAGGGCGACTCTTCAAATTTTAAGATTTTGTCTGCAGTCACGACAGGAACATTCCTTTTAGAAACAGCTGATGCTTGTCCGATAGATTGAAGAACGCGGTATCTGTCTGTGTTGGTTCGGTTAGGAGGTCAGAGCTCAACACTTTAAGTAACGCGTTAAAACGTGTGTATAAGGAAGAGTTCACAATATTCCAGTGCTCAAAGCAAATAATATGAGGAACTCCTGTATGCTCCTACAAAAGAAAAAGCTAGTTTAAAAAAAGGACAGTTAAATTGCGAAAGAGAACCTTAGTCGGTAATTAAACCGAAGCGGTTAAGCAGCTTGTTCTTAGAGTTTTCGAACAACCGTAGGCTAGTTCCGGAATGAATGTCCTTGCTAAAAAGATTTTGAAACTGCAGCAGGCCTTAAAAAAAAAAAGCGGAATAGCTGGGAAAAGTAACAGTTAAGGCAAAAAACGATTATTTGCTCACAGTCAGACTAGTGCAGTTCAATTGCTCGTAAATACGGTTTTCTAACTGGTTCCTCCAGAACGAGGACCCTGAATGCTTGAAAACCGATCATGAGTCATATCCTAACAAGCTTCGCGTCTAAAAGTTTGAAATTGCTTGAACGTACACGCACTTCTTTTCGGCAACGTCTTCAGGAGCAGTTTGGAAATTGAAGGGCCTGTTACTAGCAGCTAAATATGTCAATTGTTATAACACTAGAAGCGTTAGAAGTAGTTGCTGTGTACTGCGTTTCAAGTTTTTTCCCAGTAAAAGGTGATCTCAGTTCTCTAGCTTGCAAGTAAAAAACTTTTGAATTCAGAAGCTTCAATTGATATTAGACAACTTTGGTCGGCGAAAATGCATTTTAGCAACATCAGAGCAGTAAGTGAATAACGCAGTTGGAAGGTTTGGAAACTGGTTCAATTCAAATGACTTCTTCCTGTACATCAACTATCGTAAATTAAGTGTCCTTGAAACAAACTATAGCTGAGCTAAATGACGGCAAACTCTGCACAAAAACTTGGCTTCTTCGCTTGCCAAATCTCTGTGTGAGAAAAATGTCATGGTAATCTGTTCATTATATTTCAGGAGAACCGACTTTGCGATTAATTTTATAAAAAAATGGGCAAATTTTGAGTTTGAACTTCCAGAATCCTTTCACGGAAACGATAATGTCGCACTGCATGTTTGTTGCTCGTCTTTCTTAATCTCGTCTTTCTGTTTAGCACCGAATTCGAGTAAAGCCATTTTAAGCTCTAATTTTTGAAGAAATTACCGAAGTGGTACTGAGAAAAGTGATCAAAAGTTTTAAATTTTTTGCTGATTTGCTCAAAAAATAACAATTTTATAACTGTCAACTTTAAAATTGAATCTGCTTTGTTTTCTTTCTTTTTGTCAGTGGAATAGTTCCTGTAAGAGTGCGTGCAAACTTATTGGTATGATAGCTGTCTTTTACAGGTTTAGCAACAAAGACCGGCTTCATTTTTGTTGCAGACTAATAAGATTATCGGCTTAAGCTGTCTAGTACAATTTTGTCTTCAATATCTTCTTGAAAATAAAAAATAATAATTTTGCAGGCTGCTTTAGTAACACTTACAAATAAAAATCTCGAAGAGTGCACAGAACTTTGGCTAAAATCGAAGTTAGTTTACATTTTTGTTCTTGGTATACCTCGACAATCGTCATTCGCAACCTTTTTGAGTCGAAATACACCGTAACTCTCAATGCCCTTTTTGTTGCAATATAGAAGCATGATAATACAATTTCAAGAGCATTTAGGAGTTACAGCGATGTCTACGTATTTCTAGCCTGCACAAACATTCTTCTGAATGAAGATTCGTTGTGGTTGAGAAAGATAAAAGTTGTAGACAAAAAGAAATCTTGGGCACGTGATGGATGGTTAACTGGTTCTTCGTGGTGCGAACACGATTTTATTTTCCACGGTTGGAAAAAAAGGTATTTAGCACATCTGAATGTTCAAAAAGAAACCGCAAAACGATTTGCAAAGTTTTAGACGATTTAAAAAGGAAGAGAATATTTTCTTTATTCTTATGTTTCTTTCTTCGGTAAAATTTCACTTATTCAACGTGCAGCAACATTCCAAAGTTATTGGTCAATCAGAAGCCGTTCCTGCATTGCACTTATTCTATTTATTCATTTTTTTTTCACAAGACAATATAAAATTTAAAAAAAAATGCAAAAGAAACTAGCAATTTGGAAGGGTAACAATAAGATTATAGTCAACTGCTAAGTAACAGTAACCAAGTAGCAAGAAGTTGAGTTGCTTTGCGGTCACTGATACATGATTACCTTTTTCTTAGCTGCTTCAAAAGTCTGTTTCAACACAGAAGCTACCTAAAACTCAGAGTCTCAACAGTGTTGTTAAAACTCGCCACTAACACCTGTTCTAATTTTTAGTTCGGGAACATCTATACAACAGAGTTACAATGTGTAGATTGAAAAATTTTTCTATAAACGATCGCCTGCAGTTGAGTTGGGCACTAAATCTTAGGGTTTAATTTCATCAAATCGTTTTGGAAAGACCAGGAAACTGTTTTTCATTTCTATTCTGTAGGAGTTTATTGTTGTAAATAATTTTTATTGTGCTTTTTAAAAAATGAACATTTTTCATGGTACGTAAATAACTTTTCTAGAAGAAATGAATGAAAAATAAGTGTAACGTTGAATAAGTGTATTTTTTGAAAACAAATAACTTTTTTAAAATTCAAATAAACAAATAATTTTGTAAAATATATGCAGTCGAAGAAGTATTCAATAAAAATATAGAAAATTTTATGTTTGAATTTTGTAATTTTTAAAGAATCTTTGCACACATTTTTTACAGATTTCTCTATAACGTTTATATCACAAATTTTTTGTAACATTATTCAAAAAATTTTGATCAGAACACTTTTTTCTTTGTATATTATCTCGTTAGGTGGCTAAATATTAGTCATGGAATTTATTGAACGTTCCAAATCAAATTTTATGCCAAGAATATCATCTTTAGAACAATAAATCTACTAGCATATGTTATTATCACGTTGTTTTTGGGTTGAAAAAGATTCCGGAAGACAGTATCAGCAAAAGTACTGTTGTGGTGTAACTGATTAGTTTCTGATGAAAATACTGCCATGCTGATCAAATGTTCTCATCAAAATCTTTTTTTTTGTTTTACCTTTGCATATTACATTTTTTTAAATTAGTTTTTTTTTTCTGTTGCTTTAATCTGCTAAACTCTGATTTATTGTTTTTTATTTGACTGATGTTTGCTTAACTTTTCTTTGGCAGCAGATGTGATGTTTGAAGTGCTGTCAAAAAAGATACTTTAGTGACCAGAAAACTACTGTCTCATCAAACATCAAATAGATTACGCTAATAGTTTTTAGAAAGAAAAAAGTTTTTTAAATAGGTGCTTTACGTCAAACAAATAAAAAGTGTGAATTAATTTTGCAAATTTCAACAACGAAAATAACAAAATGCAATACGTAAAAAATTCATTTTTTTGTTAAAAATTACCGTATAAAGTCAAAATTTTAAGCTTAACTTTTTTTTATTTCAGCTACCTGAATAAAACGTCTTTTGGAAGTTGGTTTTCTCCTATTGAATTATCGCCATTTAATCATGCTTACTGTAATACCAGCAAATATTTGAAAAATTGGAAATATATAAAACAGTTTCAAAAGAACTGCACAACCATCGGGCAAATGTTGGATTCACAGATTCAGCAAGCAAAAAATATGATACAGAGATATGTAAGAAACGCAACAATTCACCTCAGAAACCGACGATCGCAGATTACTGCATAGCTTTATATACTTAATTGTTTTCTTTTAATGATACTGTCTTTCAACAATGTTAAATAGTCCTTCCTCATTTTTATTCCCATTTATCAACTCTTTAGTGGCAATTTAAAAAAAAAAATAAAAATAAAAAAGAAATAAAATTTTTCACAACTTTATGGGTTTTAGATTAACATTAAGTTGAAAATCTTCTTTGACCATATTTAAAGCAAAAATTTCTTTTTACTACAATTTTTGTGAGACTTTAATGTTCAGACTACACATTTTTATCAGAGAGAATGCAGAAGACATATTTGTTAAGGTTAAAATAACTGCAAATAAACGGCATGTTTATTGCTTGTATTTTTCTGTTTATTAATTAATTTACTGTTTATTAATTAATTTTATTAATTAATTTTTTTAATTAATTTACTGTTTTTAACAGACAGGTTTAAATAGAAATTTTCTACTTTTTTCAATCACTAAACATTCCACGCAAAATTTATATTATAATTTAGGAAAATTTTACTACTTTTTCCTGATTTTTTTTTTTGCTTAACTATTAGTTTCTGTATTGTATAAAAAAATGTTTTGCAATGCTTTTTATATAAACATATTGCTGTTCAAATGATCAATGCAATGATACTTTTTTCAGGTTGTTTGCAAATTTTGTAGGATCTCTTATTATTAAGGTACTATGCTTTTTAAATGACAGTTATCACTCATCAGCGTTATGCACCCATTTATGTATCTGTTCTCTGTTTTCAATTTTTTTTTTTTATTTTTGCTTCTTTATAAAACTGTCAAATATTTTAGTGTGTTGATATTATTATAATACTGATACTTAATTTTGTATAAATTTAATAACTTGGACAAAAAAAAACAGTGTTTTTTTTTTTTTTTACTGAATGTATAGGCAGCTGATAGAAATGTATAGAATTGTTATATATCAGCTTTAATTTACAACAGATTTTTTTGTTATTAGTTGTTGCTCAGTTCTGTTATTTGATGTTGGTAAAAGAATGAAAAACTGTTGTTGTTTTATTTGGTTTATAAATCAAAACTGAAATTGAAATTAAAAAAAAAAAAAGGCTACAAGACAGCAACAGTATTAATATGTAAGAGAAAAAAAATTTTTTTTTTTTTTGAATTGTACAAAAAATCTGTTGAACTGTTAAAATGTACTTAAAAGCAATTAATTTTGCCTTCATATC